TGCAGTAAGATTGCAGGCTGCCCCACTTTTAGGTTTCAAACGCACACACACACTATTGCACAATCACCGGTGGGACTGGATGTCTGGCCTGGTGCCCTGAGAACTGGAGCTTATACTGTGTGTCTGCCAATCTGAGCCCAACAAGCTGTTTTGGGGGGAGGCATGTGCATTTCATTTCATTCTCACAGACCATCAATGTCCTGTGGAAAGGCCAATATAAACCTCAGTCACTAAAGAGTCTTCTGAAAAAAGCCTTTGTCACATTGCTCTTGTTAAAAGATCAAGAGAAACTATTCCCAGATTCTCAAAGCAAAAAGAGCAAGAATTCACAATGAAAAACGATATTGTTTTGATACAGATGAGTGATTTGTATTGCCGATAATGTTAATTTTCTCAATCTCTTGCTTTTGACTGAAGTTAAAAAAAAAATTTGATAGGTGCAGTTTAACAGTGGGATGTCAGAAATGAGATAATATTTCATTGTGACTGTGCCAGAGAGATAAAGAGCTCAGTGAGACCTCAGGAACTGATTAAAGCTGATACAGCTCCAGGACTGATAGCTTCCCTCCAGCTTCTGTGCCGTTAGCCGCTCCTCTCAATGCCATTTGTGCACCATATCCACAAGTCAGAATTATGGAATTAGATTGGATATCAAATCTAATTCCATAATTCTGACTCATTAAGATTTGCACTAAATGGAAACTGCTGCTTTTGAGTAGATTCATGTATTTCTTCTAACTAGCTGTACTTTTATGATTTTTTGAAACAAACTGATTTTTGTTGTCTTATTTTTTATATACTATCATAATTAATTTTTGCTATTTTTCAATTTTTTTTCTATGAATGTTATTGTTTTATCCTTGTTTTTCAATCACCTTCAAATGTTAAATAGAAAACATTATTACATATTTTAAACAATGACAATCTACAATGAGAATGAAATAAACATAATAAAATATATAATTTCATACAACATATAATTTCAATGCAAACTATGACTGTGCCTCATGCAAGGTTATTATCAATAACTAAATCTAAAAAAAAACTTTTTCATTGTTTGAAATATAAAGGCAACATTTTTATTTTAATTTATTCATCTTGAAGTACTAAACATAAGAAAAACTAAATAAACTAAAACTAAAAATTTAAACTTAATAAAAACCTAAATAACTATACAGTATATATACATACTGTATATAGACTGGTTATTTTATTTAAAAAAAAATTAAATCAAACTTTTACCAAAAGTTGGAGTACTTGTTAAAGAGATTAAAAAAAAAAAAACTTGCTTGAGATAAAATCTGAGACATGTGATTAAGGTTAATATGGTTCAGAAGAATATTTATTTTGCATATAATTTCCAAAAAGCTGTAATTTTCGTCAAATTATTCCAAAATTGTGAAATTATTATTTAATTGTGTGAATTTAGCATACATAAAATGCTAGCTATGAATTGCACTTAGCAAGACAAAGAAACCAGCTATTTTATTAAAAAAAAGTTATACAAATGTCATTTCTACCACTGTCATCTACATCACAGAATGTAATTAAACATAATATATAATATAAGACATGATATAATGTTGGAAATAACAGTATGGTGGAAATGATTATGACTTTTAGAAAAGAAAAATGCAAAAATGAATTGTCTTATGATCTATGTTTATTATTTTGAGTAGACAAATTGAAAAGAAAGAAAGAAAGAAAAAAACTAGTGTGAGTGTGAAAAGTGTTTCAAGAGACTTAATTTCCTAAAAGTTCCCAAGCACAAAAAGTGCCCATAGCTGAAGAAACACCCACTTATAAATGATCAACGCTGCTTCATGTCAGTGAGAGTACCGCTCAGCTCATCATCGACTACAACTTTTTAAAGTAAATCTCAAATGCCAGCAAAATGTGTAGTTTTCCCTCACAAGCATCTGTCACTTGAATCATCCAACACATTACACATGTGATGTTAGCTCAGCCCGGTGCAGCACCTCCGTCTGCTTTATGGAGACAACTGCCTCGATCATCAGGAAGAAATTAGCCGAAGCACTAAGCAGCATGATCTTATTGGCTGCCGGGCCCGTCCGCTCCATTTGAGGTCAGCCCAGACATTCCAGTGGATAATCTTTTCCATCCCTCCACTCTCTTGTCTTTCTCCCTCTCACACTCAGTCTGTTTTCCTCAAAGCACAACTACAGCACAAGGCTGGCTTTGTGTAGCCTCTTCACTAGTGCTTTCTGACTCAGTCAGTGCGTTTTAAGTGAACCGTATGGAGCTGAAATACATATCGGCCTTCGTTCCCAGCTCTCCCTGCACCTTCCAGTAAAGTTATTTTCTACAGCAAGCTAGTGATATGAAGCCTCCGAGTTAGGGCCATCACCACATCACAAAGGTTCTGGAGAGAAGCTGAGCTATGTTTGCTTCTGGAGCTTCGCCTACTTTTCCCAGCATCCCGTTCTTTGTTCTGCTCGCTCTCTCTGAACTTGCAAAAAAAGGCTGTAATTATGGCGGGCACAAACCAGAGAGAAAGAGCCATATTATAGCATTCTCTCACACTTCAAATGCGGCTGCTCGTTAGGAGTTACAGGAACCTGTTTAGATTTAAGCCAGCTGTGGAAAGGACAGCTGCTGTGAACTTCTAGGATGGTCGTTTTGATGCAACCCACACATTTCATGCATTCTGAACCACAATATTTACATAAGTCCTCATGTTAAACGCCTGAGATACACAATCCCGCCTAAACATGCCGTTGAGTGATCGCGCTGAAGACTAGCTTTCTTTAATATTCTACATATTAACCAGTAACACTTTACAGTAAAATTCCATTCGTTATTATTAGTGAACTACAAATGAACTAACAAAGAAAAATAGCTTATTAATCTTAATGTTAATTTTTTTATGTCATAAGTTTTTAATGTTATTTTTAACATGTCTATCCAGTGTTTTTAATATGCTTAAAAACAAAACATGCAAATTCATCAGTCAACACCATTGCGGTCACAAATACATAACCAATCCCGTCAACTTATGGCTTGTGGCTTTTCATATCATAAGCAAACTGTTTCCGCCTAAGGATATTGATTTCTAGGAGGTAGCTGTCCGAGATGGCGAGCGGGTGTGTAACATGGTTTGTGTAAAATTAGCAACACATTATTAGCTGTTTAATAACATAGTCATAATGATATCAATTACTGTTGTGTGTCTGACGTTGTAGAGAGTGATACATAAAATGCATTAGCATTCTAATGCATTGACTTGCAGACAACCCTGTATAATTTGCTTTTCCTCTTCTACTTCGGAATCAGTTTCTGATTCGAACATATATTCAAACATGACTATTTGAATTGAATTCTGCCAAAGTGCGCACTTGTAAGTGTTCGTTAAATGCGTAACGTTAATTACGTGAGTACAGGTCTGCTCATGTCTGAAAATAATATATAAAAAACTAAATTATTTTACATAACAAAAACATTATAGCTTATACTTGTTTAGTACATTTTTAAATTAATGTAAAAACTAAAACGAATTGTAAAACTGAAAGTAATTTTTTTAAATTGTGGGCCGCATTTGAATTCGTGACAAATTCACGGGTTGAGGACCACTGATGTAGTCATATTCAAGCAATTTTAAGCCATGAAAACAATATTTTCACTGGGAAAATCGTTTAAATATGCTATTTTGATTATCAAAGATGAGTTTTAAGGAATAAAATTAGTGACTGCAGGACTAACATTTACTACTACATCAGCAAACTCAAAACGTGCATCTGTTAAGAATATTTGAAGGGATAGTTCACCCAAAAATGAAAATTCTGTCAATAATTACTCACCTTAATTCCAAACCCGTAAGACCTTCGCTCATCTTTGGAACACCAATTAAGATCCAGGAGCTTTCTGACCCTGCATATACAGTGATGGTATTACCACAATCTTTTTGTACTTTTTTTGTACTTTTTGTGCGCAAAGAAAACAAAAATAACAACTTTATTCAACAATTCTTCTCCTCCTGCGTCATGCTACTCTCATTAATTGCGCCAATGATGACACGGAGGAGAAGATTTGTTGAATAAAGTCACTATTTTTGTTTTCTTTGCGCACAAAAAGTATTCTCATAGCTTCGTAAAAAATATCGGTTGAACCACTGATGTTACATGGACTATTTTAACAATGTCCTTACTACCTTTCTGTGCCTTGACCGTGGTAGGACCCTTGCTGTTTATGGAGGGTCAGAAAGCCCTCGGATTTCATCAAAAATGTCTTAATTTGTGTTCCGAAGATGAACGAAGGTCTTACGGGTTTGGAACGACACTAGGGTAAGTAATTAATGACAGAATTTTCATTTTTGGGTGAACTAACCCTTTAATGGACCTGAGCTGACACGAACTGGCAATGAAAAGTTGTATTTTTATTAACTAATGTTAACAAAAGATGAATAAATACTGTAACAAATGTAATACTCATTGTTAATGTTAACATTAACTAATGTGACTGTATTGTAAAGTGCTGCCAATTAACCTCATATTATCTCTGAAAGTGACAACTGACTTTGAAGAATCATCAAACCTGGGGAAAAACAATCTTGCTGTACGACAGCTGGAAACCAACTGAAAACAAAGAGACCTACAGCATGACAATAGATCATGTTGAAACATCACATGCAGGAATAAGACCAGTGAAACGTGTCCATTAACGCAGGGGCCAGGGCAGACGCTCTCTATATGGGCTTTGTTGTAACACGTTTGAACCAGAAACTATTTCTCATGAGTGAAACTGTATCTTGAGCTCTGTTTGGGAATGACAGGACAAGACATCCTACACTTGGAATGAAGACTGATTTTGCCCTACAGCGTTGAATCGCTGACGTTACGCGTGGATGATCCAGCACTGTAGGGCAAAATCAGTTCAACAGAAACCAGATGGCTTTCCTCTGAATTAAAAGACTGATCGAATGTGTCTATGTGGCAAGCACAGGTGCTCTGATGTGTTTGTGCATGTGAATGTGTGTTTTATACCTGTGGATATCCTGCGCTGTTGTAGTGGGTATGTACCCATGAAGCCGGAGCAGCCATTGGGCGAACTGCCAGTGTCGCCCGGCCGGCTCCGCAAACACGGCGGCGCTACTGAGCAGGGGTTTTTCAGGAGCCCTGTGTGTGTGACACAAAAGAAGTGGGTGAGAGTCACTCACTTCCACTGCAATCAGGTGAGGATTTCAGACCAATATGTGAAAGGACACATTACACTTTTCTCAAAACTGTTATGGATGGATCTTCAATATGCAGTGCTTTAATTTACAAGGCAGTACAAAAATACAAATAAATTGATAATACATTTCACAAATAATCACAAAGAAATGGCCAGTAACACATTGAATTATTAGTGAAATTTTAAAGTAGAAAGACTGAAATAGTAGTTTTTTTTATAAAACATACTCCCATAATCTGAATCAAAAACTCATTTTTACAGTTTAGATATCAGTCAATATCTTAGAGGTTGCTCTTAAGAAATTAAGAAACAATTCTGAAAGAAAACTATTTGGGAAGAAATTGATTAGAAATGTTTAAGTTCACATTGACTTTTATTTGTATACTTAAGTATTCTGGCAAATCTGTAAACGGTTCATGGCATTATTGAGATCTCTTATGAAACTAGACACATGTGAGATTTAAAGGGAAAGTCTGACTTCCATTTGCTCTCTTTTTTAATCTTGTTGTTGTCTAGGATAAAAAGAATGGCAAAATAAAGAGATCTCATATGGGATTATTTTTTCCTTGAGGGAGTGTCTTGAAACCTATTTTCGCCTCAAAGAAAAATAAAGTATTTGTGACTTTATTTCTGACAATTGCAGTTTTATTTCTTATTTTAAACTTCACAATTACTTTAATAATAATATTAATAATAATAATGCATTTTATTTATCATGCGCTTTTCTTAACCCAAAGCGCTACAACAACGAGCATGGGTAACAACAACAAGCATGGGTTTCTTAACCCATAGCGCTACAACAACAAACATAATAGACAGCAATGAAAACAGCATAGCAGCATAAAAACAGCAATGAACAACACAATAAAAAGAAACAGTATAAAACATACTCAGTTACAGTAAGCAGCTTTAAAAAGATAAGTCTTTAAAGATTTCTTAAAACAATTCAAGGTTGGAGAATCTCTAATTTCTTAATAGACTTATCAGGGAGACCAACATAAAGTGCATTGCAGTAATCAAGCCTTTATTTTTTACTTAGGGGTAGTTCACCCAAAAATCAAAATTCTGGCAAAAATTACCATCACAAATTAATTTCCCATGTTAACACAAATTAAGATATTTTTAATGAAACCTGAAAGATTTCTGTCCCTCCATTTAAAGCCATTCCACCAGAAGTTTGATACTTAAAGCTGCAGTCCATAACTTTTTTTTGGTTACAAATGATCCGAAATCAATATTTGAGCAAGTACATAACCAGCCAGTGTTCATAACCAGAGTGGTACTGGTAGGAATACGCGGAAAAATTTGAGCATGCTACTGCGTCATTACGTCACATCTGTAAACATAAAAAAGTTGTCTCGACTAGTAGGCTATCGTGTGTGATGATCCGTGTTCGTTTATAGCCTTTTCTCACCGCAGCTGGAAAAATTTAATTTATCATTTTGATGGTGGATTGTAATCCAGAAAAGATTGAAACACACGTGACTGAAATTAAATTATATTCCAGTTTTAAATGTGCATCTGATTAGAGATAGCCTGGGATTACACAATATTTGTATTTTAAAGAGAACCAGTTCGAAGGAAGAATAATTTGCTTTTTGGGTTAAAAGAATTTCTCACTATGAAATTCAAATGGTATGACAATTAGAGATCAGACTATACAGAAATTTTAATCTACACGCTAATACACTACATACTAGTCACGCAATGTTGATGTTGTTAACATTAACAATTTGAGAACAAAGTTTAACAATAATAATAATTTGCACAATTTGAATTGATATGAGCTAACTAATTGTTAGATTTAATCACCATTGGTAGCACGATTTTTTTTCAGATGTATTTCCAAGAAAAAAACATCGTCTTATATTCGGGACAATACGGTAATACTTTTTTCCTCAGTTGGTCAGAACAAAAGTGGCAGGCTTGTTACTTACTCGTTCAGATGACAATATCCGGTGAAAATTCTTATTTGGGTCATATATTCCAAGACGTAGGCTAGAATCTGTGATTCCTAAGTAGAGTATCCACACCGGTGCGGTGACTGACAGCCACACATACTCCTCAAAACACTAGATTCATCCACGCTGGAGCCGTGCTGGTGCACGACCCACGTAATGAAGATAATTGCGCAAATAACTGCAATTGCAGGATTTCAAACAGAGATGGCGACAAAGAGGCAAAACATACTGACTGCAGCTTTAAGTTTACAAAGACATTGTAAAAGTAATCCATATGAATCAAATTTAATTTATGATGAACAGATGTAATTTTGCATTTTATTCAGCACACACATACATAGAGCTCATCAAATATGATAAACGGAAGCTCAACAGTGCTTGTTGACATGCGAGAACCACTGAGGTTTGTCTCTTGTGTCAATTAAGCATGTTTGACATCTGTTAATCATATAAAGTGATTGTGTCTCCTCAGAAAACTTGGGTTAAAATGCTTAATTCATATGGATTCCATTTTCTTTTTATGAGCAATCTGAAGTGTCAAAGTTTTGGTGGAATGAACTTCAGTGGAGGGAAACTGGGCTTCCATACTTGTACTTGAAACATCTGCAGTTAACGAGTGTCCTATGCAAATAAAACTTTTCAACATTTAAACAATTGTGTAGTGTCATGTAAAACCAGAATTAATTTTTATAAGAAAGACCCATGTGATTTGTGACTGAATGTGTGTGGCCCGTGCTACATATCTCTGATTGATATGGAAATAACTTGACCTCAAGATGTTTTATTTGTTTGCTAGTAAAACTGCAAGTGCCTCATTTTCATCCATCTCTGAATATGAACTTTCAGACCACCCAATGCTCTCGACTCACTATGACCTTGAGCAACAAAGGACACATAGTCACACACACACACACACACACACACACACACACAAACACAGACTAAAGGCAAAATCTGCAGGCTCTCTTTATGAGACCCGGGATATTTGCTCCTTTCAAAGCCCTCATTTACGAGACCTTGATGAGAGGCCATGCCACACAGAGCAGATACCTTTTTTC